TAATATTTCAGTTCTCATGCACGCACGCTTGTTTGGTATTCCATTAGAGTTTGTGAACTTAGTTATCGCTCTGTTTGCGTATGCCTGCTCATATGCTTCAATATTTTGGAGAGTCAGCAAAGCGTTCAGTTTCTTCTTTTCATTACATCTTTTTGTTCACATAGTCACGATTATTTGGTCATACCTTGGATTCAGTGTCCTTTATCGTATTCAAGAAACCAACTATGCTAGTGTGCGTCCGGTTGGTCTCGGTAAGTTTCATTTCATTCGCAATTCAACTTATTTTCATCACCGTTGATTGCCTCTCTTTTGCTGTTAAGATGTTGATAGTTGCTTGACCAGTTGGTTGGGTGTCATCCATGAATGTGCATTTCTTAACACGCTGCCGATTTTTTAATTGAACGCCACATCGATGTGCACGGCAACTTGACTGAAACGATGAATTATTTTTTGACATTCCGTTGATCCATCAGATTTTTGTTTCATTTTGATGTTATCGATATTTCTACACTTCACTGTGTAGAGATATAATTTGAAAAGTTGAACAAATGTCCGTCTTCTATCGTGCTTCCGTTGTCAGATGTACTGATCTCATGGATTCACTATGTGATAACAGATTTTGCTCCGGCAATATTTTGCTCCATCTTTTCAAAAGCTTCTTTTACAGATGATTGTTTAGAAATACCTTCTGTTGTAGTTATTCATGACCATCTATTTTCTTCTCAAGATTCTTGTTTTTATCGTTCTAAGAAAACGTACATTTTATTCAGACGTCTATAATATTGATGTTTACTAGTAATGAATCATACTGCTTTAATTTTGTAGGACGATTGTAAGTTGTTGAATTAATAAATCTATCATTTACCAATCTGTTCCAAGGTTCTTTTGGCTAAATATTGTTCATGTTTGATCAATGGATCATTGAGAGTTGCATGAAAATATACCTTGTTCCATCTCAAATTTACGTGTTATCTCGTATGAATCTTCCTTTTATATCTTCCCATTCGTTTTCATTCCATCGTCAAACCTTCAATGTTTATTCCATAAATTTTAGGACAGTATCTTAGCTCGTCAAAGCCACTAAAAATATATCATCCACTTGCCATAATTGCCACCTATGTAACCACGATGGTGCTTATCAATATCGCTCCTATAGCACTTTACACTTACGGGTACAACAAGTATTTTGTAAGTTTTATTCCACTTCTGTTACACGAATCAGTTATTCTCTATCGTTTACAATATCAATTTCATTCTTCGCTATTATTCGGTAATATTCCATTTATTTATTATGTACCTTCCATCGTTTTTCTTCACTGAGTAGTCTGTGGTGTTGTCTGTTAATGGAAATATATGTTCAGGATCATTTTTTCTGTTTCATTTCATCCTTTAGTTTAGAATGAAAATTTTTGGGTTCCTCTTGTTTCAAAATATATTGAGAAGTACTGTCATTCATTTTTTGACTGTATCAGTAAGCGATGAGTATTGGCTAGTCAACGATACGATCTCTAAAGATTAATGACAAACACTAGAAGAATAGTGCGATGTCTTATATGAATGGCAAAATTTTTAAACGGATTGATATTTCAAGGTGAATCTGATGGCGTTACAGTATAAGAACAGTGCACGAAATCAAGGCACTAGCGTCAATGGTCCTCCGAGTGAATATTCTGAATATCGACGTCGAAGTTATCAGAGGTCACCAGCTGCGAAACTTTGTTGTGACGGGTATGTGTCATTTGCATCAGCTTCCTTGCATCACTCCTACAGAACGTTTATTAAGCCTCTTTTTTGCATCAAATAAGTGTTAAAATAATCGAAAATTGATAATCATGCAACGTTTCATTTTTAGCTATGCACCACACATTATTGCGATCGTATTGCTCGTACTAATAGTCATCGTTAAAGCACCTACTATTTATGCATTGATGGTACTCTATCAGGTGATCCATTTTTTTAAAATCATCTCAGATCCATTTTATTTGTTTGCACTCATTTTATTTTCTATCAAGGTTCCATTTGATGCATTTCTTTTGTTTGATATTTTGATTGCCTAAAATATAGGTGTTCTTTCGAAATGAGGTCGTTAAGCATATTGATTTATCAATTTATTGTGCAATACTCTTCAGTTTTCAGCATGAAGAAAAGTCGCTATTGCTCTCATGTATTGTTATTGATATAACCTACCTCTTTACGTGGATTATATTTTGGCTTATTTTAACGTTGAAACGAGATTGGAATTTCAAAGTTGTACATCAAATGCGTGAGATTATCGCTTTACAGGTTTATAACAAATAATCTTGGCAAATGAGCATACAATGTTTAGGAAATGCAAAGCAGTATTTCATGATATGACGAGTTTCAGAATGAGAGTAATGAGTAATTAAATTTGAAACGTAAGTATTATTTTTGAAGTTGATGCTGTCTTTGAATGGGATCTATCTATCTCAGTTGCTTCTTGTAAAACAGAGCAGAGCAACTTGTATACGCCATTAGGAGGAGAATTCTCGTTTTGGTAAATTAGTTAAATTGTTAATGAAAATTCAGTTTGATGTGCTTGAAAGAGTTGATCAATTGTACACATTCATTTGGACTGCAGTAATTCAAGTCGAAGTTCTAGCATATAGCAGGCAGGTTTATTTTAGAACGCTCATAAAATGTTGGGTGCAGCAACGGGATCAGTGTGCGATAAAAATCCATCCGAGCTCAAAAACGCCGTTCTTTTGATGCATGGTGATCAGGTATTCACATTGTGTTTTAAATGAATGCTCATAATGCGCACTTAGAAATGCTTGATTCACTAATGCTGAGAGAATTTCGTTCAACCGCAGCGAAACTTCAATGATCGATGCGATTTTTCATTTAGAATTATGTTGATTGCTTGAATGTGAATGTGTCTGAAGTTCAACTATATACTGAAGACTGCAGATGGGTTGTTATGTGCTAAAAGACGCTTCCTTACAGATGTACATAACGGATGATCCAGTTGCTAAACAGTCTGTTCTACGGCATGCTCAGAAGAGCGGAATGGATGGATCGGCATGCACGGATGAAGTTTACTGGTTAAAAACAAATGGTGCACAGTCACCAACAACAAGGTATAAAATGATGTTTCAGAAATAATGCGTTGTGTGTGTGACCAAAAGGTGTCTTGATTAATATTGAACTGTGCCGTTTCATCGCTCTTTCTTATTGTTTAAAAGTTACAAGTTATTATCCTATGTGATTGCATTTTAAGGAAAATTCCTTTGAATGAAAACAATAAAGGTACACCAGAGATGAATCGCTTGTTGGGTGGCAACGCTGCTGCTGCTGCTATAAGACGCCAAAGTGCCGATGACAATATCTCAACACCAGCCGACGCGTACCATTCGGTAGATATTAATCATATTCATCGGCCACCTTCAACCGATGATCTTTTAAAAATTGATGTTGTTTTTCATTCCGATTGTTGTCAATGCAATGAGTGACCAATACTAAAGGGAATTATTCTGCAAAGTTCACGATTCGAGTTCCAACTTTTCGGATCTTTTTCTTTTCAGCAGCGATTGATTTGGTTGGGAAATTTTTCGTTTGAATCGACACATAAAAATTTGATTCATTTTCACTTCTTTAGATACGACGCACTCCAGCTTCACAAACCAATTCGCAGTCAGCCATAGCCCAACCACTGTATGGTAATACAGAGGGCAGTCCACATGAAGAACGAACTTCGGCTAGTACTTTCGGCACCCTGCAGGTGAATGATCGATTAAACTGCGTATTTCTTATATTTTTGCCAGCAATATTTTATTTTATCCATCAGTGTCCGGTCACGTTTTCACAAGTTCATCGTTAAATCATTCAAGGAATCTTTTTAGCGCAATCAACGAGTGGAGTATGTCGCAACGTTGAATAGACCAACCATGACAGCCGTACAACAGCGACCAGTTGCAGGTCAGCAGCAGAACTCGATGAATATGAGTGCCCTGACAGCATCCGATTATGGTCGTGGTCAAATAGCGGTTGGTTAATTGGAATCCTTCCTTGCAATTGAGATGATTTTTGCTGTCAATTTGAGTTGTTTACTCCATCAAATGTATTTTTTCGGTTGGCAAAAATGAAGCAATTAAACAGTCATCAAATGTGTTTATTTGTCGTTCAGATATGAAGCACTGATCTGAATATGTGTTTAATATTTCTGATATGTCAGATCTCCGTGTATAGCATTTATTGTTAATTACACTGGGTCTCACCCTTTATCACTGCAGTTGTTTTGCCGAAAAGCAATCAGAAAATGATCACAAAATACACGTAAAAAGAGATGATGTTGGTTTTTGGAAGTGAATTGCGAATCGCATTCGGATGCAGCAATGAAAAATAAGGGAATTTTAAGCATCATCAGTCAGAAGCATACGCATCAATCCATAAGAGTAGTCCCAGAGGAGTAGCACCTGTGCAGCAACTGAATGATTCAGCCGCGTTGACAGTACAACGTCGCGGATCAGCGCCACGAGATGATTCAGCTGATAATTCAACATACTCAAATCTAGGTGCTTCTTATGCGAGCACTTATTCTGCCTACGGTCATATACCACCATCTCAGGTATTATTTATTACATCGATTCAACATTTATTTATATATTTTATTCTATCGCTCCCTATATGTAATTCTTTAGCACTAGATTCACTCATAACTGAAGACGGTTTCCAATTGTGTCTGAATGAATTCCATCACAATTTCCATTCTTTATGCAATCGTTCATTGTTTTTTCACTCGATTTTGTCGAGAATGTGGTCCGTAATAATTATGATAATCAGTGGTTCTCGATCGATAACTAGTAGCTAATTTGATGTTGACTGTAACATTTCATTCGATCAGCTTTTAATTGAAAAGTTCAGACAAGAGCTCTTCAAAACCAACAGATAAGTCAGCAAGCGGCAGCTATAGCGGGTGCAAGGAACGCAAATAATGCATATGGAATGCAACAGGTTATTATTACTATTATTGTTTGAAACTACCAGTCAGTTGTTGCTTCACTGTGTATTTCAGATCTCTCATCAGAAATACTTTCAAATCTGTAAAGTTTTAAAATTCAGTCGAAAATTAAATTTTCGTCTCCATAGGTGTCTATTTGTTTGGTGTTATCACGTATTCTGTAAAGAGCATTCAAACAGGATGCCTAGATAGCGAATACTGGTCATTCATTAAGATTTTATTAACATCATTATGTGGATGGTGAGAGCTAAAAGAGCACCTGTAGCAAAAAGATTGTTCTTTTAATAATAATCGAGCACTTTGAATCGTCGTGACATTTCAGAAGTTCCAAGTGAGCGTATCACAACGACTACCTACTGACGGCATTATGGTAGCACCGTCATCGATGGGCTCTGTGAGAGCGAGTCCTCTAATAGGTGAAGATCGTATCACAAATGCACGTTCAACTGCTACTAGCAGGTGAGTGCAAATATATGATGAAATCGAATGAATAGACAGACACTTTGCTGCCGACTAATGTTAAGTGGTCGAAAGAAGAAGCAGACTGCAATTTGTGTAAGTATGCTGCAGGGAACAATCACCATATCAACGTTCGACCAACTTGAAACTATCGTCGTTCAACAGTGCGATGAATACGAGCAGTACAGATGCGCAAAAGCATGTTGCTGCGCATAGTACACTGCCGATCGCATGGTCACAGCAGCAACGAGCGCAAATGGCACAAAATTCTGCGCAATCGCAGACGGTTCAATGGGCCAGCAATTCTGCTTACAATAAGGTAACTTCACATTTTGATCGCCAATGTGCTGATTCATTTTAATTTGGAAGGAAGATGGGTGGGTTGCATTCTGAATAAATTAATCGAACACTTTAACGATAATCGCTATAAAGATTTGTTTGATTGAATATTCAAAGAGTAAGCTTAATTTTTGGAGAAAAACGAATGCAAATAGACATGCAGACATTACGCTTTTCATTTTGATTTGTTCAATTTCTCAAGATGAATAATCCATCATTTTTTCTCAGTTAGTTCATGGCACAAAAATTTATTCATTTTAAACGTCATAGCTTGTTTCCTACGTTTTTGGGTAGTACAATTCGCTTGATAGCCCCTAAGCAACTGTTTCGACTATCATCCACTTTATCAATAGCAGTTCCATTGTCTCCTTCCTTATTCCTGAAAATTTTTCGAAAAAATTCCACAATTCTTTCCTATAGGTATGAATAAATCGTTCAACAACGAGTGAGTGCTATATCTTCAGCAAACATTTCGTCACAGTCGTTAGCAAATAATGTATTTGACCAAAAGAGTCATTCGCAAAGAAACAGAAAACATCTTTTTTAGGTGTTTTATATTTGAGATGCGGAATTATTGTTCACTTTTCGTGAGTTTTTTCATTCATTCGAATCTTTGAGATAATAGTGATTTTTGGTGTGAACTACAATAAACAATGCACAAATTAACAAAGAAGCATGCTAATTCAATGCTGATTTCAGTGCGTTTTCAATGGTTAAATAAACAGCTTTCCTCATCGTCACGAATAACATTTTCTCTCTCCTAATCACACTAATTTGCCTTCAGATAAATGAACCAGTGGATTCAATCCTGCATTCTTCTTTTAATGAACGCATGTAAAAGCACTTATAATTTGATTGAATTCATGAACTTGGAGCAGTTCCTCCCTTCCCCAATTTTTTATTACACTGAAATTTCTTTTTTCTCCCTTCTTTCATCCGGCCAACAACGCATTTATTAAAATTTCAAACAATCTCACGACAAATGAAGTAATTGCTGTTTGATGCGACTGTGCTATCGCTTCACATATTCATTCATATAACTGCGATCGATTCTGTTCATTGAAATAATTTCATAAGACACGAATATTCGTTTAGTAATACAATAATTTGTTTGAAATGTACAATATGAAAGTGCCCACACTTGCGTACATTCACCTGACGTTGCACTGATTTCCATATTGCCATCTGTTTGGTTACTCAGAGCACTGTTTGGAACGGTCGCCTAAAAATTGTCCGTTGAAAGATGTGCTCGTTGCGATGCCATCAAAGAAGATTTTTTTGATTGTGAATTGAAATACGCAAAGATCATCTTGTTTAGTGAGCATGTGCAAGCAACCGTTCAGTTTATGCGTTTTATTGCCGATACATTCATATCAGTAATGCTCATAGTTTGATGAAATAACGAGAATTGCTCCTTCTGCTTAACTGCCGACAGGTATCTTGGAACATTCAGCCTTAATTTCAAACTGAAAGTAAATCGTTTCTATTGTTCGTTTATTGAGATTGCGTTGTCAATAATACAAGTATTGTCGAAGATTTTTATTACAGTGTTCGCGATTTTTATCAGCTTTTTGCCGCATTTCATTGCTGATCTTATCGTAATTGTTATCTTTTATTTATTTTTATTCTTTCGTTATCATTATTATATCGCATTCCTGTCAAAAATTCCACGGACATCGTCTCTATAGCACACGTCAGAAAAAGATCTGCGAGAAATTCAGTCTGATCATTATTTACAAAGTGTTTAGCCACTAAATAGACGGTTTTTTCAGCTTTCGCAAATTACTTGCTCTAGATCACTAAACATATTCGTAAAAATCACGATTTTTGATTTATTTTGTGTACAGGATTATGATTCATCCCTTCTTGTTTAGCTTATGCTTTTGAAGAGTTGCGACTTCTTGAATGTCATACTTATAGTTTATGTCCTTTCACTACGTTCAAATAATTAGTTGGTGATTTTTATTTCAATCGAGCATTCATGTGATTTCGTATGATTGAATTTAAATCAACGTTGGGATAATCCAGCAAAGCACTGTGTTCCTCTGCTGTGCATGAAAAAAAAAACGAAACTCAGTTTGTCACGTTTGCTTGTTTGGTTATGCAGAAACTTTCAGGCTTCTTCAATATCAACAAGTAGCAGTCAAGCAGATCAATGCTTCACACCCACATCAACATTAACCAGTCAAGGTAGTGTGAGCAATTACTCCTCTCAACACACACCCACTCCTGGCTCTCCAAATTTGGGACCGTCACATTCTAATGCTCTTTATGGTACGCATACACCGTCGTCATCTGCCAGTAATGCTCGTCACGCTGTTACAGTCGCAAATGCCAACATTTACGGTATTTTTAATTCCATTTTTGCAACTTATGAAGCTGATTCCATCCAAAATTCTCTTATGAACCTGGTTTTATTCAAAATTCTCGCTGTCTTCTCTTTCAGTGACCGATTCAGTTTGTTCGCATATGTTTTACTAACGACAAAGGGATCATAATTCTCGAAGCGACTTGTCATTTGACGTATGAATTGGATCATCACTAATGGAGACAATTTGAGGTAATATTGGTGATGAATCAAATAACACAGAGTCAACTTACGGTACGATTACGTCTGCAGATCGACTCGTGTCAAGCACAAATGCTTCTTCGCAACCACCTCCCGTTGCACAAAAACCCCTGCGGAGTGCTGCAGTTGCGACGGGTAGTACATCAATTCGACATCAGGTTAAGATGGTTACATCAAATGCGAATGCGAAGGTGACCAGTTCACGTCAAGACGATTCAGCCAATTATAGCCTCACATCCAGCTATGAATCGGCCGAGAATCCGCGTCAAGGCAATATGTTAGCGCAGACGACGGCTGAGTACGCGACGAGTATTGTTTGATGTGATTCAAGCGTGATTATAAGAAACATTTATGGGTCGGGTTGCGCTCACTTTATAACCGCCAGTGAAGTGGATTGTTGTTGCTTAAAATTGAAATTTGAAAATTTTCGACAGTGCATTGCTTATTTTGGTTTTTCTTGGCGTCCTAGATGAGTGTCATTGTGAGAAATAATCCGATTATTGAATTTGTTTCAGTTTTGAAGATTGACTGCTAGAAAAATGAGTATGTATGAGCTGCCGTATCGAGCTATCTGCTAAAATGAGCACTGATCATATGTACCCAGTTCCACTGTAGCTTTCATTGACGACCACCCAGAGTGGCTCTGCAAAGTATTCACTGAATGGGGAACAAGTAAGTTAATAGAGCGAGCATTGAACCTCAATTAAGCTGTAATAGCAACATGCCATATCGTGGAGCTAACCGACTTCCTTCAGTGATCTCTAAATTTTAATGCTTATGTTACTCTCGATCTGATCTTATTCAGTGCTGAAGAAAGTTATCGGAAGGCTGATTTTTTCTCAATCTTGATTGAAATTGTATTTGGTCTGAAAGGCATTTGCTTTGAGTAGTTTTGTTTCACTATGAAGACTTATCGAATAAGTTAAACGAGTTCCATTTCTTGATTCACTAATTGAAATTGGAATTATGAATGAACAATGAAGGTCAAGTAATGACAACAAGTGCTTATTTTTTGAATTGTTTTTGATCGTAACCGTAAGTGTTCTTCATTTTTCAAACAGATCAATAATAAGGACGAAATCATGAGGGAACAAAATTGCCACATTATGTACAAATAATTTGTCTGCTTAATTGAAGGATTTGAAACATTAATTTTATTCTATTAATCATTTTGCATGCAAGTATGTGTGTATCTGTTTGGATGTGTTATAATGATAACACTCTGTGGATTGTTTTTTATGCTACCTGTTATGTCATCGATGTAACGTTGTTGATTTTGGAAGTAACTTTTGTTATGTATCTGTACTTATTCATTTTAGTGTTGTTCATAAACGCGTGTTAGTTTATTCGTCAGTTGTTCACTAAAACTATATAATGCGACGTGATATCATCCAAATGTGTAATCCATATTCGTTGTTCACATTGATTCTATTGAAAGCATGGTTATGCAATTCTGTTAATTGTGCAGAACAACATTCCGGTCAGTCAACCAAATAATTCCAACAAATATCACCGATGTGAGACAATATTTTGACCTCTTGAAAATGCCAATTAATACATGAAGTTTGGAAGGTATTTTCTGTTTGAGAATAAGGCTTATTGGTTTACTAAACACTTATTGACATTCACAAGAACTTTCAAACAAATATGATATGATTGCCTCAATGATTCTTAGGTATATGGAAGAATGTTAGTTTTGCGTGCTGAAGTAATCCTAAAAGAATGCACACTAGGTGCTGTTAAGACTGGCGTTGTTTCTTGTTTGTAGGTGATGATTATATTGTTTTTGCTTTATTGGTGTTGTTGATGTTCGCATAATTTTGTTGTTGGAGTTCAGTTATTTTCAATCAAGTGTTTCTCGTTTTTCATTCAGAAATAAACTGCTTGTTTATGTGTGCCATTTTTCCTCTATGATCTCAAGTGTACAGAAATATTTTCGTCTGACTGCACTGATAATTTCACAAAATTTTCAATTCAGAATCACCACACATTATAGATTAGTTTAAAAGTGAAGAAATATCACTTTTCGCGGATAAGAAGAATGATTTTTTATTGCTTTTCTGATCGGCTGATAGTAAGAAAAATGATTCAGTATGATTAAAATTTGTTGCCGGAGTTGAACGCTAATCGAGAAATTTGAGTGAACGGCAAAAATGTCTGCCAACGTTGCAGTTTGTTGATGCATGAGTAGATAGTTAAATTGGTGCAACGCTTTGTTTAATGGCGCCAGATATTGCATGAGGGCAATTACCTCGAGAAACACGTTATTTTCGATGTAATTAATTGCCTGAGAATTTATTTGCTTGGACACTTTCGCGTAAGACACTATGTTCTGTGTGAAGAAATGAAACGTTTCGAACTGTGCTAATCAAAGTCGATTGTTGTACTCAGTGCACTTTCTTGACCATAAACAAGCAATAATGAGAGTAAGAATAGACATAATAATAATAATGACAATACTGATAATAATAATAATAATAATACCTTGACGACCAAATATTGCGTATAGGTTTGAAATTGCGGGTATCGAACACTCCTGCGGCTGAGCTGATGCTTTGCGTCGAAACGTCTCGCAATTTCAAACCTATACGCATTATTTGGTCAACAGAGTATTATTATTATATTTATTTTTATTCTTACTCATTCTTACTCTTGTTCTTTTTCTTGTTCTTATTGTTATTCTTATTCTAATCATTATTGTTATTACTCTCATTCTTGTTCTTACCTTATTCTTATTCTTGTTCTTATATTTATTTTTATTCTTATTCGTATTCTAATCACTACTGTTATGATCTCTATTCTTATTATTGATGAAAATGCGTAACTCAGCGCTACTTCAAAATTTCATAAACCAACATCTTAGTCGTAAACAAGCTTAGAAAACAAAACAGGTTGCCTTCTTGGGCTTTCATGGCATATGTTAAATAATCATACCATGTAACAATATCACTGTGAACGGATCTCTTCTCGCTTTAGCCAGATATAATTGTACCGTCAAAATTTGTTCGAATTCGTCAATTGATCATTTATTTTACAGCAGCGATCCACGAGACAACTGATGAGATTACTATGATAAAACCAAACATAAATTCGTGTTGGAAATAAACGATTGCTGATAAACATGCGCAGCACATTTGATAGAGCATCGATAAGTAAACATGAACGAATTCGGTATTACTTGCTTTAATCTGCGCTTCAGGCAAATGTTGTGTGTAGTCATTCAGTTGAGGTCATTCACATTCTAGCTCTCACTGTACACCACACGATTTGTGTCGTATTGTTGTTTCAGTGTGTCTCTGAATGGTTTTTGATTCACCTTACTGAATGTTGAGATGTCATCAAGAGCGTTTAACCCCAGTCATTTTTTTCTTAAGCTTTACAGACTAAAATAGTGTAATTAGATATTTGTCATCTTAGCGGTATTAACTCCGAAAATGTTAAAACGTCCATTAGATGTAAATTACGAAACGATGAAATTCTGTTCGATGCTTCACGAGCTGAGAATATTTCATCATATGTTCGTAAATAGGGTTTGCACGAGATATCGGAAACTTACCTTATCAGTTCCTCATTACAATTACGATTCTCGAATTTATTTTCCTTTTGGTTTTTTCTTCATTTGATGTCTCAACGCATTTTTCTCGTTTGATGCGCATAATCAGTTGCATTTTCAACTATTATCGCAGCTTATTCCATGTTTTCTTTTATGAAATCTATAAACTTTCGTTGAGGTCAGCTTCGCTTTTCCTTTCTCATTATTTCCAATTTCAGTACAACTTTAAGTTGCTTCGCGATTACCTCTCTTTTGTTGTTCCTCTGATGTGAACATTCTTGATCTCGTTCATCTTCATCTCGTTCGATGAAAACCATAGCATCTTCATCTGCTACTGCCATTTCAGTTTCGTGCTTCTTTAAGAGGGTCGTCGTTTCCAAATTTTCGAACTTAACATTGTTTTGTATACGTTTGTTTTTAGTTCTGCCTCCGGCCTCATATCACGTACCGTTTCCGTCAAACTTTTCTTCACTTCCTCATCATTGCTTTGAATAGTAGATACTAGATAACATCTTCATCACCTCAGCTCCTTGTAATTATCCTTCTATTTCTTTTTAATACCTTTATAATCCGTCTTACCTCCATAACTTTCATCCCTTTAGCTCATTTCTACTTTTCCGAATTACTTTCTATCTGCTCCCGATTATCATAATATATTCAAAGAAAATTACCTGTAAACATATTCATGCTTCATGTCATCAACTAAACAAACCGTTGATTTGCTCCAGGACTTAACGGGTGACCCAACTCATATATAACCACTATTCCGATCGCACATTTAACCACCGTCTCCCTTTCCTGATACGTATCTCCTACCACATTCACACACTTCCAGATATTCAAATGCAATACCATATCTTCTCTTTATCTTCAAATCAACGAAAACATAATTCATTTTCTTATAACCTTCCCGGGGTTTATCTATTACTTGGAGTAGAGATGACATCCGTGTGCTTTTTCTTGTCATGAACCCGAAATGACGCTTGATGTTCAAAGCGTACCTTTTGAATCTTGACTGGATAACACTTTCCTCTATCTTCAACTCTATACTCCTGTATTTGATGCAATTGAGAATTTCGAACAACTCATCATTAATGTTTTTAATATTGTTTTAATATCGAATGGATTGCGTCAAAAGGAAATGAAAAGAACAGTTGCATAATAAGGAAAATGAGATTTTGAAAGCGACACTGATAGAATTACTGTACAATAGAATTTTATTCAAGATGTCGACAACAAAGCCATTTTCTTCGAATCGCATTCATGCTTTGCGTTTTTCACATCGAAAGCAGCGTTCATCAAGTTGCGTGAACCTTCACTGTCAACATAGCTCCGCTCCAGATGATAGCGTTTCACAGATCAGTAAGTGTACACTTTCAATGATATCAATTGTACCCATCGTTTCTCCCATTTCTTTGAATTCCTCAATCCACTTTAAGTACAAGCGAGTTTGTTTGTATTTGATTGTCATTTATTCATTTTTAATGAGATAGTGCGATAAGAGGTCAATAATTGCAAGTTGTAAAAAAAGCATTATTTTAGTCAAGCCCTTAGCTATTTCGTTTATTTGCACATTCACTGATAACGAAAGCAAATTTCAGTAATGAAACTCAGTGAAAATAACAGTTCTTCCGACTGTGATTACATGTATTTCTTTCCTTTCCATTGAATGTTCCACGGTTTCGGAAAGTATAGCGCGATTACAGTTGTGTTCGATCTTGTTATTTCATACAATTTCAGCGTTCCATACGGTAAATGGAAACTATCACGAGCAAGAGTCCTCATCTTCATTGATAAACCATCAGTTTCTTACCATATCTACGGCAGATTCTCATCAATCATCCAACATACCTTCTAATTCTTCACAAAGTGAGTCATTTAGTTCCATCCATCTGTGAGAACAGGCATGCGCTATTGACTTGAAACAATCGGTGCTGACGTGAATTTTCTATGGGTTTGAAGGATAACAAAGCTCAGATTCATTCCATCTTAAAAGATGAACAATTTCTAACCTCATCGATGATTTCATTAAAGGATCTGCCAACTCGAGCCATCTGTCAGCAACGTTGCATCATTCATTGAGGTATAATGACAATGCTGCATTTACTCCAAGCACTTCTTCATCCTGTCGTGAATTTATCAGCACTAATTTGACAAATACTCGTTTATTGTGAGTACCTTCTCAGCATCGGTTTGAATTGAAATTGCGATTTTTTGTTGGCGGTTTCGCGACAACTCTATTATTATATTTGATGAGAAGCAAGGTATGAGAGTGATTCATTAGACTATGTTAATGTCGAATGTAAGAAATTTGATATGAAATGAATGCGAAATGTATTATATTTAGGAGTACTAATAGGAATGCATTGATGGTGGATTCATTTGGATTACCACCGAGAGAAACGTTGATCTATGAATGTTTCTTGTTATCGCTTGGTGCTGTGTCAATGGAGTATCGACCAAGTGCTGCATCTGTTATCAGCAAGGCGATTGCTTCTTTAAAGCATCATGCAATTGTTGCGAGAACCATATTTATGCAAATTTATTACAACATGGTATTGAGTTCATTCTTACCTTCCCTTCTATGACATATAATTACTTACATGGGATCTTCTTGATAAAAACACTTACGAAAGTATTGCTTCTTTGTAGATCGTGGTTTATAATAAGAAGAAGCAAATAACCCATCGATTATTGGCCAGTAATATAGAAGTGGCGGTTGCATCAGCCGAAAATCGACAATTGCTTGGTGTTATAGTCAGATCACCGATGAGAGGTATGTAACAGTTTATTCACTCATTCGTTTGGAATGACCGATGAAAAGTGTTAACAATTCTTGGAATGAATTAAGATCTCGCAAACGGAGTAACATTTTCTCAATCCTACAAATTAAATGAAAGTTGTTTCAAGATTTCTCAACTCACTCTATAGCTCTTATAAAGCAATGTTATGATGACGACCTCCAATTTTTGAATTGTGAGTATGGATCAATGCCCTGACTTCGATCACTGGTGCATGTTCATGGAGGCAAATTTTTGCGTCCACTGAGTCACCCTATATTTTTTGATGCAATTGCAAATTGAACATGTTCGCTCATATGGAACATTGAAAATATTCATAGTGTTCACTTACAAATATCAACTTCATTTTAGAACACTTTATTTGTCACGTTTTCGGCGTTGATGAGCAACTGTTGTTTCATTGTGCACACGAGAAGTACACGAAACGATACGGAATTAAATGCTCGTTAGAATTTTGTTCTCATTAATTTTGTTCTCATTAAGCTGTTGATTAGGATTTGGGTGGGATGGAGTTCCAATGAGGGTAAAGTTTAGTCGACTGACACCGAAAATTGTTGGCCACCGACCGAAAGAGGTTGATCGGTTGGTGGTTACCAAAAGCCGCCTTTCAGATACCGTCGACCAAAAAACTGGAAAGACCCTCTGCTAACCGAACTTCAATGACCAGCGGCGAAAGAAGCCGATCGATACTCAAAATTTGCCTTGTCAGTGGCCACTGAAACAAATCTTTCGGTTCCCATCTCTAGTTAAGGTTATCGTCATCACTGAATGGTCATTTTTATTTCTTTGAAGGTCATCAAACACAAATATGCATAGTTCATAATATTTCCATAACTCTCTCTACACAAAGTATTGAGATGGGTAACAGATGGGGATACGTTTAGCTGCACGAATATGATTATCACTTATTGCAGACGAGTTTATGATGATTCGATGGTTTTCTGCAATGAATTCCCGCATTCGGCGATCAGTGTTGTACGTAATATCAATTACATGCAACATTCACCGAAGGTTCATTTATTATCACACGCCATCTAACGTTCCGTATCTTTTGAATTTGGACAACTCGTTGTTTATTTGTATTAGCGATAATGATAGCATTAATCTGAGAAAACATCAAGAATTCCGAAGGTTGTGACGAACGCCGTTCGTTGTGTTTAATTCATAGCCTCTGGAATTACGCAAACTTCATCAGTGTGTTGTGGAAACACTACTATTGATAATAGTTATTCAAATTTACCTCTCTTTTACATGCCCAAAAATTACGTTGAATTTGTAGTATTTCTGTTGAAAATAAATGAATTCAGCGAAAATTTCCAAGTTGATCATCAACCGTGAAGATGAGGATTTTGTTGCTTATGTTTAATTTATTAGATAAAGATCGAAGCAAACGTTAAATCGAAAACAAACTACTCATCCAATACAAAGAATATCAATGGGCAGTTATATGAAAACTCGATTCTTTCATCATTATGTAAGTTAATTTGTTTGTAAAGATTTTAATACTACAACAGCAACAGTCGATCAGTTATTTATTTCCTCGCCAAAACAGTCCGTATACAATATATCACGACATTAACAGTCAGAGAGAAGTGAATGATAAAATGGACTGTTTGATAAAAAATTTTGACTGTTTACCGTTAGCCACAACTGATTCTGGTACTAAATGTAAATATTTTGAATCCCAATAAGTAGTTTTATTTTAATCACCTATGCGGACATACTGTTCGCTTTGAATGACTTACTCAAGTTTTATGAATATCCGTTTGGTGCTTGAGGAGTAACTAATCTGCAGCTTGCGACGATACAAGTGGATCAAATTTGCTGCCTACACGAATCGAACAACAACGGAATTTCAGGGCTCAAAGGTTAATAGACCACACACGATATGCCTCAGTTTATGCCGATTATTCTCATTCAATTCCGAAATCCGCTTAAAGTAGGAGGTAGCAGGTTTTTGTTCTGGAAAAGTAAGAATATAAATTCAGTGTAAACTTTCTCGGCCTCATAAATCTGCTCCTTCGGTAGAAGGTTTTTATCACGAGATCGAAGTCAGGTTATGAATGGGGCAAACACTGAAGGTGGAAAATGATATATTTGGTGTTTTCGCAATGCGATCTTTTTCAGAAATCATCGTTTACTTGAAATGGCAGCAGCTGGAGAAACCTATAAAAGGGTTGATTTGTCACCAGTGGAATTGATTAACTCTTCTCTCGAGCGACAAGAAGCATTCTGCGGTATAACTGGTTTCTTTGTGTTCTTTTTGTCTGATCGTGTAAATGCGGAAGCGATCTAAGCATGCAATTAGAAAAAAACAATCACTGACAAAGTTAGAAGCAAAGCATATTCCGTCAGTTGTATTTATCAACATGTAATGATGACTGAACAGCATCTACGAAAGCATGAGATAGCCTAAACTTTGACAAAAATAGAGGAAGACTTGTACTTGTCACATTATCAAGATGAAATTATCACTTTGTTTGCTTTCCACTAAGAACGCTTTGCTAAAGTTCTTCGCGTATCAGTTGACACGGTTATCAATTCACTAAGATTACCAGATGGTCACATCGATATATCTCGGAAGGAAGTTACTTGCACCGATCGAATTACCAGCACACTGATGCAGTGATTTGTGCATTACTCATTCAGTCGTTTATTCATTCATTTTTGTATTCAGATATTTCAAGAACAGAACGTGATAATAGCAACAAGTGCTGTGCTAGATGTAATGCACATGGAAAGCCGGAGTGTCTTAAAGAAAAGGTTAAACTTAGTAATTTTTACGATATCTTCTTCTCAAATAACCCGATTTAATGTTAGAATGGACATTTTATATTCATTGTTATATATAAATTGCACATGCACTGGTACAGCACAACATCGCGATAATTGTTCTCTTTATCTGAACTATGGCATTCTGAACTCTCTTGTTTTAACTACCCAGTAGTTTCAAAGATCACTGTATTGTTTCTCAGTATGTGATAAATGTTTATTAATGGTTGTGTGATTTCTTATCAGGTAATTAATAGGACCATAAAATTTGAAATAATACTGTGTTGATAAGGAAACGTCTTTGCTGAAATAATATGGCGTCATTCAGTTTGGAACGTATTCACTAGAACTTTGCTCTTTTTTTTATTATAATTCAACGCTTTTTCAATTTTTGTGAAATTAGTTCGAGAGAAAAAAATTACAATACCAACAGCTGCGCTGTGCATCCTTAACGATTGTGCTCGATTGCATCTAATGACAACCATGAATACTGCAGAACCAAGACAATTGCTAATGATTTCATGAAATCAGTGAAATTCTTCGTTGACGTGTATTCTTGTTTTTTCTTGAAGCAAAAAGTCTTTTAATTTCAAAATTCCTAAATTCGCATATTGCACACAGGCAGCTGTGAAGTTTGCAGCAGTTAACTGATTTGTGCTCTGATATGAGATGAATATATGAAGTTATTTGTGAAGCGTTGCTGCCTAGTACACAGTACGCTTCCTTGCTTGCTGCCTTCGCATTCGGCTGTAAACTCAAAAACATTAGTAACGCTTCGTCACCTTACAATGGACGCTTCATTGTTATTTATACCTTTCGAATGATTCAATTCAAAAGTGGCGTCAATTTTAAGATGAACGCGCGTCTTATCGTTTTTTCTTTTACTTATTTGCGTACATCTTCTTGTGTATACATATATTTAGGAACTAAATTCAAAATGCAATTTACTAACTTTTATTGAATATCTGTTATCAATTCGAAAATCACTTTCTTGCGTCTGTTCTTTTATTACGAATGCAGATTGCCATACATCACCTAGTCACTACGCATCAGCGATCATTTTGTCCTCTTTCTATCGTTATGCGAATTATTCTGTATTTGCTTTTTTTTGATTTTGAACTGGTACTAGTTAGGCTTAAATTTTGGGTCAAATTCAGTGAAGATTTGCATGGTTTATAGACGCTTGAGAACATTTCGGATGAGAGTTAATCGTTGACAGTCAACAGTAGAACTGCTCCACACTTACAAGGAAAGGTCACTGACGTTTCCTGATGAGATATACCCGCTGGGCCACGATATATCCGCTATATACCCGCTACCGCACTACCCGCTAGGCCAAGCCACCGCTGCCAGAATGAAATTCAGAACGTCACTTGAATACACTGAAAACCTTTTTCTCGCCACGTCTCGCCTCCCCTTCGTTTCGCAAAAATTTCATACATATTCATGATCAGCTCCAGGAGCTCTGCAATATGATGTATATCTCATCATGAAACGTCGGATTAATTTCGTGACCTTTCCCTCAATTCTTCCAGTTTTCGCTTCGATTTTTAACGCAACGGCCAGGAATGATGCTTGTCAACAAAGGAAAACGCCGTACAAAAATTTGCAGCAACCTAGTCATATCCCGAGCTACGCGAGCTGTTCGAATTTTTCACTGTAGCAGTATTGCTGTTTGCTGCTCGTTTCTTGTATGCTCTCCTCAATTTTTGATGTCAAAGACAGTGACGACTCATGTTTGTCAACGAACAGTCACTGTTGAAGTCTAGTCAAAAATATCATCAGTAGAGCCTTTATTCAATGCTCGAACTTTAGCTTTTTTTTTTCAAGTAGCGCGTACTATCATTGGTCATGAATGGCTGACCTTCATACCACATACGGAGTAAAACTAGCGGCACATTACCTTTCCTCGGTAGGTCCGTCGAAAATTTTCAGCCAAAAATAGCGCATATGTAGCTCGGTGAACGCGACATATACATGCGATATTTTTGGCTGTAATTTTGCACAGAAGGTTTTTTTTTCCAAACAAATAAGAATCATTTTTTGCATTGTGTACCAAAAATTGATAAAAATGATCGCTCAGCGGTAATTGATGCTCACTACAGATGAAAAATTCGAGCAGCTTGGGAGGCTGCGAAATTTTCTTCCTACACCGATTCTTCCTGCAATAAAATGAGCCATTTGTGTTGGGTCCATCAAAAGTAGGTTGAAAAAATCGAGAAATCAAGCAACAAGAAGGAACACTCAATTTATTGCCAGACAAGAACCTTCGAGCCCCTTTCGCCAGCTTTAGTGCAGTATTTTTGGCTGAAATTTTACACGGAAGTGTTTCACAAAACATGGACTAGAATTCGGTGGGAAACGTTTCAAGGCCACCTGTGCATCACCATAATAAACCATTGCTTTGATGCACTTTAAATGCATTTCACTGCGTCGTTAGTATAATAATTATTTGTAAACAATTTTATTTGTTTGTATCAATTGTCTAACGATAAGAACATTGTCGCAATATCCATCGCTTGATTTTGTTCATCTGCCACAGTACTGTCCTCGTGTTCCGTTCTCCCATTTGGCCTTTTAACGGATCCTCATTCCCCTCCTTTAACAATTTACGTAACCGTATTCTCGCCTCATCTCATAAACTATCATTTCTCCACAACCAATCACAAGAAAATCGGAAAATTGATCCATTGTTTAACAAGTTTGCTGCCAACAATTTCTTACTTGCATTGCAAGGAATCATTTTTTTTATGATCAAGCAAACAATCACTTTTTATAAGACAGGAAATTCATAGGAGAATTATGAAAAAATTAATCCACAATGATATGCCAGCCTCCCTAGTCGCCGTCCCCAACCGGAAAAAAATTCAAGGTACCTGTCCAGTTAAAACCACCGGTTTGTAATCGTATTTTTCGAGATTGTATGTTTTTCTGCTTATTCGAGATGCAGTTCGATTTAATGTCGACATCATGTGATCGCTTTTAAGCGTTTGCGTTTTTTATGAATATGAATATGAAAACGAAACACTAAATGTTGCATTCGATTAAGCAAAAACTGTATTGAACGGGCGAAGAAAGTAAAGGAACGAGTGGATAAATACCATTGTACGATGAGGTGTTTATGAGCGTCGTGATTTTTTTGCGTTGCCATTGCAGTGGATGGTCGATACAGTATGACCGATGAATGTACACTATCAGTGAACAATAAATCACTTGTACCAAGTGGTTCGCAAACAGCGACGTCATCAGCACATTGTAAAGGATTACGTGGTTTCATGGATACTGTCTTTGAAGGAAAATATTTCATGCGTAACAAAAGTGAAAAAATCTCAGTTCAGCAACAAAACCTAAGGAGTGATAAAGGTTCAACAAAAATGCTACATATCGACAATGAAAACAGCGGTCGGACTGAACCGAAACTAACGACAACAACATCGTTGGCTGTACACGAACCAGTACAAAAATATCATGGGAAAATAACTGATGAACTGATTCGTGCAAGTAAGGAAAGGAAAAATAAAATGAACGAAATAAGTGAAATCCCAGCAAAAAGGCCACATTCAGCTCGACCTGACAAATCGAAAGCCGTCGATACTAATTATGGTAACAAAACTATGACCCATTCATCAAGGCAATCATCTCCAACCGTTCTACGTATTCAAAACAAGCGAAGTGTTCGAAATGTTAAGAAAAGTTCTCAGTCCTCATCATCTCAAGCTAAAACACATCTACTGCGCGGCTTTTCATTCCGAAATAAAGGCACTTCCGTCCATTGCCAGAAAAATGTTCTTTCACCGTTGTTATTATCATCCTACAATCAAAAACAACGTGTAGATGCTATGGAACATAAGATGAATTCGTCGTTTGAAGATTCATCAGCCCTCACCAAAGTGTCCGATGGACATGAAAATGATAAACGAGATATTAAGCTTGCGGAAGTGAATGTTCACAAATCATCTGGAATGTTCGATCAAACGATGGAAGGAAGTTTCAATGAGGTTTCAATTGACCATGCATTACAACAAATAGGCATTAGTTCAGTGTCTGATGAACGGAACTCCGATCGAAATGTCACTAAAAGAAATGAGACAATTTCAAAAGTGATGAGTTATTCACCGAAAACAGTGTCGAATTGTCGAGCACTGAATAACCGCGCTGAAGACCGTGATGATAAAACTCCTATTCTGGCAGCAGTAACATCTAGCTGTACTAATACAACCACTTCCAGCATTAGCAATAGTTTCCAACAACATCGCGTAAGATCGTTGATACGTTGCTCACGCCAAACACAACGCTATCAAATGCAGCAAAATCATCCTCAATCGGTTGAGGTTATTAACCCAGCAACGCCATTTAAGCGTGGTTTCGTACACTTGCGTGATTCAAGGAGACGTATTGCTGAAAAGATGCATCTCAGAAAAAGTCAACCAAACATTGCGGATTCACTTGAGAAGGCAACACATCAAAAAGCTTCACAGCAGTTATCTGATCATTCAGCAACGAGAGTGAAATTTTTGAATGAGAATAAACCAACAGTAATGAATAAATGGATTCGTATTGCAAAAACAACATCCGCATATGGGAATTTGGCGTTTGAAAGAAGTGGGAATTTGGTGAAGCATGATTGTGTTGAAGAGAATAAATCATGCTGTTATGCTGATATTGACCTCGTCGACAACGATTATGATGATGACAACAAGACTGAATCCGATCAAGCAAAGCTACACAGTCGAGAGGCATATTCAGCACGAGTTCGTGCGAAAGATTCACCAATTAGTTCTAATCAGCAACATGGAAACAATTTAGGCAATACACATCAAAAAGCAGATATTTGTGTATATACAACGAATCAAAAGGTTCTTGATGGTTTACCTTACGTGGACAGTGATGAAACAGAGTATTTGAATGATGAAGAGAACAGTTTTGGAAAAAAAATGAAAATTTCAAATTCAAAATTCACTTATGATCAATGTTGTCAACCGAATGGTTTTCTTATTGGTCAGATTCTGCAAGAGCTTCATATGAATCGTCAATTTCTGAACAATAATCGTGCAAGTTTGTCATTGGTAAAAAGCGATTCAGACATTCCCGATGAACGGGAACGTAATATGATTTCGTCCTCCATCGGATCATTCTCTGACAAAACTGCTCCATCACCAAACAAACCCAAAAGTGTAAAGCGCATCTGTACTAATCCAAATGACCGCAGTGTTTGTGGGACAGTTAAAGAGGAACTGCAGTTCATATCTGAAGTCGGTACACGTTCAAGTGCTTGGTTCAATAAACAAAACCATCTATCTGAAGTTATTACCGCGAACGTTCCTGTGTGTTCCGAGCTGCACAAATGTGGTAAAGATGAAGTATGCAGTTAGAAGCATTGATCGCTCTCATATCTTTTGTACATTCATTTAGCTCACAATCAGATAACTGCGTTATAATCTGCCATGTATGATCCCTACACATTTTTGAGATATAGCTTTGATATCCAAACAAGTTTACGAAAGGATAATTTCATTTTTTGAAACATACAAAAGATGTTTTTATGCCCTAAGAGTTAAAAACATCTTTGTTGAAAAAGGCAACAGTTGCATGCACCCTCGCAATTCGTCGCAGCTTCATTGAAAAATTGTAGCTAATGCCAGAATTGCGAGCATTAATGTTTCGATTATATTCGCGGTAAATTTTAGAGCTTGAAACGTTTATAATCCATTACTGATCAGCTGTTCTGTTGTATTTTTTATTGTGAACCTAAACTCGATTGATGCTAACAAATTAGCGATTAGTGGTTATTTTGGTTTGGTTGAAACGGCAATCGGTTGTAGAAAATTTTTGCTTTACAGATGTATACCCACCATCTAGAGTGAGCTGTAAAAAATGGATGTGTTTATTATTTCGTGAAAAGATTCAATTCCAGCATCGCTCAATTGTTGCGTCATCAAACGAAAGTAAACCGTATGCCATAAATGACGACAAAAACTGTTGTGGTGAGGATCTTCGAGAAGATTTTGGTGCTAACGCCAGCTGTTCTTACAGCACAGTTCCATCTCTCAAACGCATGGTTTGCTTTTTTGATTTTCGTTCACTTTTCGTAAATATTTAAGCTCATTCTCGAAAGACTCGAGCAAATTCATTCGAATTCATATATAAAGATTCGCGCAAAACTGCATGTATCCACATAACGGTGAACAATGAAACACACGGATCAGCATATAGATTAACAGAAACTTACACATTTTCACGGGTGATGACTTTAGTGATTGACTGAGTTCGTTGTTTTTTCATATATTTTTTGCTTGGCCAGTAAGAACTTGTTAAATGTCCTGGGTGTGGACAACACCGGTCTCCATTTTTCAAATATTCTGACGCTGCCGTTAGTGGTGATGTTGTATGTTATAGATAATTATGAGTAGGATGGATTATGTGTGAAGTGTTGTTGAAAGAAGAAGGTGATTGAGGTTGATGCATATAAAATGAATGATTCAGTGAATCTGTTGCGGTTAGGCACTTTCAGCGTTCAGTTAGATAGAAGTTAGAATTGAGTGAGCGAGCGCAATTCACAGTGAGAATGAAAATGACTATATGACGACGAATGCTCGTGGACTGAATTGCTTCGTGACACGCATCCAACACACATACCACATATCTAGCACACAATCGATTCTGCGTAAAAAAATTGTACTGCCGTCAGGCGTACCGCTAAAAAAGAAAATCTATCCACTTGAACGCATCCATCTCGAGAAGGTGGTTTACTTTTCAAAACTGATCCCTTCATTTACTCTTTTCATTTTTTTCATTATATCTATAAGGGTCAAATAAAGTTGATTCTACACACACGATCAAATAGCCGTCATATTCTAGTTGTAATTCATAAAAAGTTGTAATTTGCGTAATGAACTCTTTTTTACAGTCACCGATTTTGTACTAATAAACGATGAAAAGGTTGACAAATGTAACTGATAGGCTGAGAATATTAAAAATAACTGAACTGAAGGTCTTCGCTGAGTAGAAGTAGTTGATTTCTCGGGAAGCGTTTCAAGTAGAGATCATACATCATGGCACGAACGCTTGCGTTAACATTTTGCGATTATTTTTTTGTTTATTCGTCTTTTTGCGTAATTGTGTTCACTACATTAAAACTTAACTAGCATTTATACTTGTTGAATTGTTTTTTCATAACCACTTTGTTTGTTGCCAGCAAGCCATTCATTTCCTTTCTTTCATAGGTATAGTATATGATTGTGCAATTTTATTCGCTCTCTCGTCAAAAAGACATCGGAAAACATTCGTTACATTAACATTTATAGCATCGTATCTCGAAAAGAATCTTTATCAATCCGAACTTGATTCTTACTGTTTTGTCCAATCGAATCGGTTGCTCGATGCGAAACTTTGCCGTTTTGGATAGAAAAAATATATGGCAGTTATCGTTTCCGAGAACACGTATCATCGTATTTGTGACTGTTGTCTACTCTACTGTCTGTCATCGATTCCGTTATTCGGAAATGTTTAGACTAGCAAACAAGTAATCAGTTTGTTAAGTTGGTCGAGTCGACTTTCATTCCTCCCTTTGAATTTTCAAAGTGACTGCTCGTAATGAATACTAAAGTGAAAAATTGCCGAGATTATGTTGGATAGTCGATGCGTACAAGATCTCGGCGTGATGACATGTTTTAAACGTGTTTTAGTGGTCATTTGGAGGAGAGGGGGGACTCATAACTGATAATAAATGGTCGTTCGCTAGTGTGATAAACCAACTTGAAATCAGATTGCGCTGTTGGTTAAAGATAAACTTCATCACTGTAATTTCAGATCTTCTTCCTTCATTGTAAACAACCGTGTTTGTAGTTAGAGGTAGACGCTTGAAGTTACATGTTGTTTCATATTCCTCAACCTGATGTGTTTCACAACTAATTAGCAATAGCATGTTTCAATCGAAGCATTTACTCATTTGATAGAGGAGTAGTGAACATGATGAATTGACAAGAAAGAACAAGAATTTCAATCGGAATGCGAACGATGCGAAATTTAGAAGCACTCATTGTTCACTGAAGAATCAAATCTGCAAAATAATTCAGCTTTGTATTGCTGGTTCAAGAATCATTCTAACCAATCAACCCCTCTTGCTGAGTAATTACAATCGACAATTTTGCTGTTACTCCTAACCAGCGGTGCTTTTCGTTACTGTCGTCGTTTCTTTGCTTGTGCAGTGCAGTGGTCAGTTCTCAAGTAGAACGCAGTGTGTGAGAGACGAAACGTATCCTTTGCATACACGACTTTTATGAATAAAGAATCGTGACTGTATCTGGTAGAGGTATATTACCATTTTTAGGTAACATGAATTCGTTCTTGTAAGATTCACGCATCACTGCTGCTCTATCGAGAACATTACATGATACGAATGTAGGAGCACATACCGTGGCTGTTTGCTGAATGCGAGATTGTCGTTCACAGAATTGAATTCTGGGTTTGTACACAGAAATTCTGTGAACGCCATGTACAAAAATTCTGTGAATTTCTGTATTAGAAATGTAATTTTTCGAACCACTTGGAGCATTTTTCCGAAAACAGCAACGCAGACTGCTGCGAGCCGCAGGTTGCATTCAGACTTCTCGTCAGAGGAGGACGGAAGTTTTTTGCAAGAGAACGAAAAATTTCACTGTCATATCACCGAGACCAACGGCTTGGAATAATGAATGCAGTTGAATGAATTGATGTATGGAACAATGTGAATTGGATAGGTTAACAAACGCTCATTGTGGGGTTTGCAAACTCAGAGCTGAATTTTTTTGTCATTATTATTGGTACAATATTTGGGTACCCGTCAATCTGTCATTGACATTGCCTAACGGACGGTTTGCCTAACGGGCATTTTGCATAACTGACAGTTTGCCTAAGGAACAGTTTGCCTATTAGGCGAAATGTCCATTGAAAAACCGTAGGTTAGACAAACTGTCCGTTCGGTAAACTGTCCGTTAGGCAAATTGTCTGTTAGGTAAACTGCCCGTTGGGCAGATTGACCGGTCGCGCAATGTTTGTTCTGCGCATTCTTCATCATTGTTGCCATAGTTTTAAACCTTGTAATTAAGGTTTACAAAATCCCGATGATTCAATATTGAAGTGTCCCATGTTCAGTACATTTTTGTTTTTTAACAAATGCATTCAAAATTAATCGTAAAACAAACATCGAAATAATAACATTTTAATATGTGAAAATAAAGCATCAACATTACAAGACAACTACAATTCAGATATAACATCAGCAACTAAGTTTTCAATAGCTATATCTTGACTCTTTCTTTTAATAACTTCAACGGAATAATGTTCGGTTGCTTTATCTAACGTAAGATAGAAGGAAAACAAACATATTCTTCGGCAAATTTTCCTTTGAAATTCGTAAATGCTTCAAATTGCTTAAGAATCATTTCCGCTGATAACAGAATTCGTATGTTTTAAATTATTAGAACTGGTGAAATAGAATCGTCAACAAAAGGAATGATTATTAACGCTGTAACAAAAAACGGAATTAAGATTGGCATACGAACAATGGATTTAAGGAACTCAATTCAGTGAAATTTGAAATGAAGTCTGAGAACCGCTAAGACTTTGATTGTAGAATCACTCATTAATGTTCTCAGTTTCGTATAGATTAAAGAAATTGGCGAGAAATTTGTCCACTTTCGACACTTTTCGGTGGGATGGTTTCAATCAATCTGAACAATTTTTCCATATGCGCGGCTCTATCACTCATTTCTTTTTGCAAATGCATTTCAGAGATTCCTTTGCGGTTCACGTCACTACTTCTAGCACAACTTACGATGTTTTGGGAATTCGGCATTAATTCTATTTCCTTTGAGGAATAGGTATCATATTCATTCCCATTCTGTGATGAAACAATTGCCATCGATGTAATGCACTCAGGGTCATCATCATTTTTACTGCTCGCAACGAACAACCTCGAACATGAATTCACTGCCAGTTCCACAATATTTTTCTTTGCGATCGTATGCCCCGTAGAATTTCTTCCCTTCTGAATAAACAATTCTTTTCCGAATGAGTGTTCATTTTGCTTTGTAAATTTCACCGCAAAATTTACATTTCGCAATTTCACTGTAATTTTTGAAAAGAAAATATCCCCAACAACGAGAATGATTACCGTTTTCGATGTATTTTTAAAAATATATCTGGGCGAAATTTTATTGCTTGGAGTCATATTCAAACCGTAGGTGTGAAATTTATGGACCATTGTAAATGCAAGGCAAATCAACAGTGATGACGAAGTAAGGTGTAAGAATAATGACGCTATGAATTTCTTGTTCACTGTTTTCCTTTAAAAAAGCCTAGTTGACGTTACTATACAATGATTCATCTTTCT